GTGAATCCAGACCATGCTTAGAGGATGAGTGACTCTATCCCAGGACTCTGGCCAAGATTTGGGGGTCATGGCGCATAATAAGGTGCATAAGCCCCCCGTGTGATGCTGTGGCCAAAAAAGGCAAATGCGATTTCAGGCTACACAAAGAGGGGACTCTCAAGTGGGAATCGAATGGTTAATTTACCTCTGTATCAGCACTGCTGTGACCGTGGCTGGACACAGTGTCCAGGTGCTGAGTTTTGAATATTGCTTCTGATTGACTACGAACTGCCTGCTTAGCAGTGCATGTAAATGCATGCGGTTGTTTTTTGTCATCCCGTCCTCCTTCTCGCCTACCTCTTGTGTCTTGTCATTTCGATAGGAAGCTCTCTGGGGCAGGGACTGCCAGTTCTTGTGTTTGTACAGGGTGTTGTCAGTCAGGCATCCTGAAGGGTTCCTGACAGGTTTTCCGCTTTGTCAGTGATGCTAAACTTCTGGTGGCGGCGCGCATGCTTCCCCGTCTAACGCGTTAACCATACGCAATTAGTTAACAAGACAGATTTTGAGAGAGCCCCCAGAAACTGCAAATTAAATGCGGATTAAAAGTACCCGGCCAGGTTTTTTGCCAAGTGAGATACAATAATAGTTGATAGCGAACAGACTTGCCACTGTGCCACTGTACATATTGATGCTGTGACAATGGACACACACCTAATTAATGCAATGGGTCTAGCATTGCCCCCTCTGTCAGGTGACGACCACCCCTTGGGGTGCACTTTTATACACCGGTGCAAACAAGTTACACATCACTCCTGACATATTAGGTTGCCACCCTCTGTTGCTTAATTACCATGCCTTACTTCACACACAGGGAGTTCAATTACTATCCTTCATGTTGTCAATTTAGACCCAGAACCTGGGCTGATATCCTCTTGTAATCTGTGGGGTGTGTGTTGATACAGAGATGTTTCTTAACAAAGTGTCTAGTCCCTCTTAGGTAGAAGTGTTTCTGTGATGTCAGCCCTGTTCTTGCCAATTTCTGTCAGCAGGTCCTGCCTCTTGCTCACAGCTTAACTCTCCTTTGTATTAACAAAGTCTTGACCACTGCTGTCTAGGCCTCAGGCCTCACACCCGGCCTGTGATACCTGGGCTTATGTTTCAGGCCCTCATCTTACTACACAGGGTGTAACTTAGCAGCGTGGATTGTTCTGGTTGAAATCTCCAGGCAATGCCACTCTTAATGTTAAATACGTAGGTCAGGACTTGCACTGGGCGAGAGGTGATGCCCTGTGTCATTGAGAGCCAAGAGCATTGGGAAAGAACATGATTCTGCTGGATTGTTACAGTGTTTCAGTGATGGCCTATTTCTCTTTATTCAAAAGTACAGGCACTGTACTCACACCAGTCTCAAATGTGATTGGAGGCGGGAGGAAATGAGGAAAACAACTTGAAAATCAGTCCCTATCACTCAGCCCTTTAGAAAGTGACCTTGCCACCGAGAACAGGGGGGTGTCAAAATGACTGATGTTTTTTTTTTATTCCCCGTCTAACACTCTCTCTGATCAGCACTTGTATTGTACACTGACAACATATCAGTCTAACTAGGTTAGCGATCTATGTCAGCCTAAGCACTAAGTTATTCAGTTGGTGTGGTGGGTGACTTACATTGGGGAAGTGACTTTTTAGTGTAGAAGCTTACAGAATTACGTCGATGTAAGCTGCCTTGAATCGTCGACCTAACTCTGTAGTATAAGGTTAGGCCTTAGGGAAATCCAGATTGAAAAAATATACATAGGATAGAAGCAAGCAGATGAATTATTTGCATGTTGAAGAGGTTCCTTCTTACTCTCCTTTTCTATTCCATAATAATCTGCTTTTCCCTACTAGTTAAGCTCTGCTTTGAGATATGATAGTGTTAGATTTACTCCTTTAATGATCTCCAATTAACTAATTAACTCCTTTTTCTTATATTATATTTAGAAGGATCTTTCAGAATTGTATGCTTTTTAATTTGTTTCTGCCTCTGACATCCTATGCATTAATTTAGTCAGTCTGGAACATGTGGCAGTGGGAGTAAAAGTTTAGGGGAAATTAAAACATTTTTAAAATGGTGGAAATATAAAAAGAAAAACTGCAGTACAGAGGGTACAAAAATCAGTTTTGTCATTGGTGTAATGGACTTAGTTATTTGGGCTTGAATTAATCAGAAAGGTTAAATAAAAATGCATTGGGTTTTAGGAGCCAGGATGTCTTCCTTTGGTCTGATCCCTACTCTGTTGCTGAGGCACTGCGTAGCCTTGGTCAAGTCACTTCACCTTGTCTGTAAAAAAAGGGCTAATTTACTTCATGGGTGTGTTCTATTTAAATGTGCAAACCAGGGGATTGGGTGTAGCTGGGAAACTAGACTCAGTTCATGGTTTTAAATTGTCACTGTGTTGTGTGCCATTGCAAGAGGCGTTCTCGGTGAAGGGCATTCTGGAAATTAATGTAGAGAAGTAAATAAGAAAATGTGTAATTGTCACTTGAGATTTCAGTAAAGGGTGAAGGTCTTGGCTGGGTGAATCAAAGAGCAGCTGCAGGAACTGATCTTGCACAGAGAAGGGAGGAACGCTGGGATACACCCAATTCTGTGCAGCATCTTTCCCCTTTTCAGGGGGGGATTTGTACATAAGATTTGTGGCTGTCAGCACTAGCTGGATGCAGTGTTTCTGACGTGTGTGGATTTGTGAGTACATTTTGCTATTCTTTGAGTGTGTGAGGCACATCCTGGCGAGGAAATAAGTATTCAGACAGAAATTGGGGATGGAAATGACTAAGGTTGCCAACGTTCCTGACTGGCCGCCATTTGCAGCAAAGGTGTTCAATTGGGAGACTTGGCAATCACTACCTCTGTCCCCCTTCCCTGCAGAACATCCTGGGGTGCCTTTGTCTTGACCAGCATTAAATAATTCCAGTGATGGCTCTTGTGTAATGCCAACAGGTGGAACTGAACCTGGGACCTCTGGAGCTCATTGTAGGGTCCGCTACAGATGCCAACAGGTGGCAGCTGGCTCTCAGCTAAGGCTGTAGAGCAAATTCATATTCTCTCTCTCTGTCTCTCTCTCTCTGTCTCTCTCTCTCTCTGTAAGTGGCCTCAGTGCCTGTACATGGGACAGTGAACTACACCCAGCAGGTGTGCAGGTCACACTAGCTTGTGGGAGGGGGAAGACTGTCACAGTCGAGATGATTTCACCCTGAGAAAACGTTACCTGTTGTTCACTTGCATATTTCCTTTGCTCAGTGTCACCCCGTTACTCCTTGTTGTTACCTCCATGGGCCCCAGTTAACAACTCTCCCCTCTCCTTACTTCTTACAACCCTTTGGAAATGTTTAAGGAGAGTATCTCCCCCTCGTTGTTAGACAATCCTAACCACGCTGTTATCCTCCCTGTCCTTCCAAAGGCTTCCCAAGCACAGGTATGGCTGGAGAGTGGTGTTACCACCTTATTCTTAGTAGGGAACCTGCAATAAAGAGGTCCAGGGAGTTGTACATGGCTTCTCTGTAAATCAGGGGTGGGGAACCTTTCTTGTGTTGGGGGCCACTAACCCACAGAAAAATCAGTTGGGGGCTGCACACAAGAGCCTAGGGGGAAGTAGGCTAGTAGATTTTCTGTGCTCTAGCTCTGCAAGTGAGATATAGCTATACCTATCTCATAGAGCTGGAAGGGACCTTGAGAGATTGTCAAGTCCAGTGCCAAGTACCATCCCTGACAGATTTGTCCCAGATTCCTAAATGGCCCCCTAAGGATTGAACTCACAACCCTGGGTTTAGCAGGCCAATGCTCAAACCACTGAGCACCAGCAGGGGCTCCCCAGTGTTGAACCTCGGGGACCAGATCCAGGCAAGTCGGGAGCCACATCCGGCCTCCCGGGCCTGAGGTTCCCCACCGCTGCTATAAATCATGGCTGGACCCCTCCTGCGTTCTCTTGCCCACGTTGCCACGTTTTCCCATTAGGCCCTGCTGCTACTTACTTAGCCATCTCCAAGACGTGTTGGTAGCCAGGCTGCGCGTGAGGATCTGTGTTAGTACAAAGCAGTGTGCGAGGGGCTTCTCGGAAACCTTGCACGTGTAATTACAAGGTCTTCCTGGGCACAGTTGAAGTGGGGGCATGGAGAAGTTTGCTTGGTGGGTGCAGCAGGACACTGAGATTTAGTAATTCCCTGTTGAATTATTTTAAACACGTTGTCTTCCAGGTGCCTCAACGTGGAATTTCCAAACCTAACTGAAGTCTCAACAGCTGTGTGCCTGTCTCTACAGCGTCTTCCTCACTGCCTCCTTTACCCCATTGGTATCTGAGGCGAATATACACAACTGACTGTATCTATTATTTTGAACAAGTTGTAACACCCCCTGTCTCAGTTCACTTCTGCATAACAACCATCCAAAGTTAATAACTCTGCTCTGGTTACATAGGAGCAAATTACAGAGCCTCATTCCCACCCGCTTCTTCCCTCCTCCCCGTTCGTTTACAGCAGCTTTGCATTAATATTCAGAATCCATAACCAACGGAAAGGAAGATGAAGCCTGGATTCCTGAACTGACTAGAAATTTAATTTTGCTGTTCACTGAAATATGTAAAACTTCTGTGTTTGCTTAGTGCATTGACAGATTAAGACTGTTCTACATGCAGGGTTCACCCAAACAAGGAAAAAAAAACCCAACAAAACCCAGACAACATAGCATGAAATGACAAAGAGAATACGGTGCTACAAAAAACCCAACAGATTCGCTCAGGCAACAGCTCAATGCATCAACGGTGGGAACATTTTAGTAGTAAACTTCTCATCCTCGGCTGTATTCTCTTGGGAATAGGAGCAGCAATGCCGAGCCATTAACTGGGCTGCAGTGAAAACAGAGCATCGCACTATGGCCATGTGAATGGATTATGTCTTTCATGAGCAGATCTCAAAATTGTTTTATTACCGTTATCTCAGCCTCACAGCCCTTCTCACCCTGTGACCTAGAAGATGAGCCAGGGAACACGGGTGTAGATGTCATTGGGTTTTCAGTATACAAGAAAATGGATAATTCATTATCCCCCACTCTCCCTCTCCCAACCTTCTTTGGGCCATTCTATTGAGCTAGCCACCAAAGAATCCTGAAAAACTAACCGCTCCCTTGGAGGGGGGAAAAAAAAGTGTTTCCAGGAATAAACCTTACAACCTCAGTATCCCGCCTGCTTGTAGTGCCATGCTGCTATCCATAGGAACCCGGCTGCTCGATTTCATCCAGTCTGTGGATGGAAATCGAAGAAACATTTGTGATGTCACTGATGGAGCACGTGACTACCCCAGATGGCTACTCTTGCTTCTCTGAAGTTGAAATAGTCAACCCCAGGGTCTACAAGCTGGTGATGGCCAACCTAGGACAAATACATTACGTGCCATGAGTCCTAGCAGCCATCCAAGGCTTGGTCTACTCTATAGATCTCGTTACCCCACAGTGACTTCAATAACTGTGCCATTAGCCTCCTCACGTAAGCTGAACTACCCTGTTCCTGTGATTTGTGCCTTGGTAACCACAATGAACGGACCGAAGGCAGAAGGACTTCATTCCTGGAAGAGATCTTTTCATGTTCAAGGTCCTGGAGATAACAGTGGATGAGAAGCTGGATGTGAGTCAATAATGTGCCCTTGTAGCCAAGAAGGCTAATGGCCTATCAGGGTGCATTAGAAGGAGCATTGCCAGCAGATCTAGGGAAGTGATTATTCCACTTTATTCGGCTCTGGTGAGGCGACATCTGGAGTATTGTGTCCAGTTCTGGGCCCCCCACTCTAGAATGGATGTGGAAGCTTTGGAGGGGGACCAGCAGAGGGCAACCAAAACGATTAGGGGGCTGGAGCACATGACCTATGAGGAGAGGCTGAGGGATTTGGACTTATTTAGTCTGCAGAAGAAAACAGTGAGGGGGGATTCGATAGCAGCCATCAGCTTCCTGAAGGGAGGCTGTTCTCAGTAGTGTTCCTGGAGAGAGGCTGTTCTCGGTAGTGATGGATGGCAGAACAAGGAGCAATGGTCTCAAGTTACAGTGGGGAGGTCTAGATTGGATATTGGGAAAAAAACTCTTTCTCAGGAAGGGTGGTGAGGCACTGGGATGGATTCCCTAGGGAGGGGGTGGAATCTCCATCCCTAGAGGTGTTTAAGTTCCATCTTGACCAAGCCCTGGCTGGGAAGATTTAGTTGGGGTTGGTCCTGCTTCATGCAGGGGGTTGGACTCTATGACTCCTGAGGTCTCTTCTGGCCCTAGGATTCTATGGGTATGTCTACACTACCACCCTAGTTCAAACTAGGGTGGTTAATGTAGGCAACCAGAGTTGCAAATGAAGCCCGGGATTTGAATTTCCCGGGCTTCATTTGCATGTTGCCAGGCGCCGCCATTTTTAAATGCCGGCTAGTTCAGACTCCGTGCCCGTGGCTACACGCGGCACGGACTAGGTAGTTCGGATTAGGCTTCCTATTCCGAACTACCTGTACTCCTCGTGTTATCCGGTTACCTGTCCAGCCTGTCCCAGTACGCTTGGGGTACCAGTGTTAGACTATGACACTGCATGGTGATTGGCTGCAAATAATTTTGCAGCTTTTAAACGTATTGCCTCCTAACGTGTCCTTGTGCAGCGCTACCAGAGAACAGACAGTTAATATTACAAACATCACAGGAGAACTAAAATATAAGTCAGCTCAGAGACACACATTTTTAAAGCCATCCCCTATAGCTATTCTGATTGAGCCTCATACTGAACATGTCAAAGGTCATCAAGAGCGTAGGGATTCGTGCAATTTTATCAGCTGAACACAAAACCGGTGATTTTTAGAAGGAGTCAGACAATAGAGCTTGTTCAGAAATTCAGGATCTCTGAGGGAAGAGAGTGGTATTTCTCCAGGTGATGTTCCAGAACAATACAGTTTTTTTTTTTTTAATAATTGAATAAATCTCTGAAAACAAAAGCCTGGAAAGTGACATGATGCCAGCATAACTGACAGAGTGGAGCCTGGAGACCAAACCATTGGAAAGGACTTGGCATTAATATTAATATTGTGCAAATCTTTGTGGTAGATCTCACGTCATGATCTCAGAGTATTTCTGTGTTAGTAACTTTGGCTTCACAGCATCCTTGCAAGGCAGGTCAGTGTCATTCTGCCATGTTACAGGGGGGAAAACTGAGAGTTAGGTGTTTAGGTCAAGATTTTCAGAAAATGCTCATCTGTCCCCTTTTGACAGTGGCATGGGGTCTGGAACACATGCCTTATAGCAAAAACATAACGAGGATCGATCTATTTAGTTTATCCAAGAGGAGGTTAAGAGACAATGCGATTAGCCTGTTACCTACATAGGCGTCAGATATCTTGGCTCTGCAGTCTAGCAGGCAATAGTATATTAACATCCAATGGCTGGAGGCTGAAGTCTGCAGAGTTCAAACTGGGAGTGAGATGCAATTTTTTAACGATGCGGAACAGCTCAGTCAAGGATGTGGCTTATTCCTCTTCTTCACTGGGAAGCAAGAATGAATACCTTTGTAAAAGGAGTCCTCTAGGTCAACTACTGGCAGCAGAGCTTGATGCAGGGATTAGCGCAGGATCTCAGCTGCGAAAGCAGTGGGGTTGTAAGGAAAATGATATTTCAGCACAGGTATTTTTATTGAAAAGATGCAGGGAATAATAATTGACCAAAATGTACACAGGACAGTTGCCAAAGGCCCCACGGGCCCCACTAAGTGAACTCACAAGCTTATGCCGCACCCCCTGATGCTGAATTAGTGGAGTTTTGAGGAAATCATAGAGGTTTCATAAAATCACAGGATCCCTGACTTGCGTGACTAGCCTTAGTTATAAGTAAGCGTCTTTGTTTTCATTTTAAACCGATTTTTACCAAAATTGCTGGCTTTTGCACACAAATACGATTCTTTTCTTTTCTTTTCTTTTCTTTTCTTCAGATTTTCATCCTACGTTTGTATCATTAACATCTATAAAATAATTTCTTTTATTAGGAAAATACCGTACATAGCATGATCTATGGCAGTGTGTCCCAACCTTTCGTGGCTGTCGGGCACCCAGGGGTGGGGCCGCTCACGTGCCGGGCGTCCGGGGGAGGGGCCACTCATGCGTCACGCTTCTGGGGGTGGGGCCACGCATGCGCCACGTGCCTGGGGGTGGGGGCCGCCCACACACCCTGAGCCCAGGGCTGGCACCACGCATGTGCCACGTGCCCGGGGAAGGGGCTGCCCATGCGCCACACGCCTGGGGCACGCACCACGCCTGTGCCATGCGCTGGGGGCGGGGCCAGCCCAGATGTTTCGGTGGGTGCACATAAATGCCCCGGCGGGCGCCATGGTGCCCACGGGCACTGCGTTGAGGACCACTGATTTGTGGAGTCGCAGAATCATAGAAATGTAAGAGAGGGAGGGACCTCAAGAGGCTGCCTAGTCCAGTCCCCTGCATTCCTGGCAGGACCAAGCACCATCTAGACAAGTGGTTCCCACCCCTTTTTATACCAGGGACCGGCAACCTGGTCGCAACTTGTGGCGGACTGGCAACATTTGCATATTTACATATTAATTGTGCAAATAACAAATAAACCATTTCCTGATTTGCCAAAATATGTGCCTATAGCCCCTCATATACTCCAACCCTGACTCCTACAGCCTCCCAGATTATTTTATTCAGCCCCGGTGGCCAGAGCAGCCACCTACTGGACAGAGCAGAGCCCGGCCCACTGCCATATTACAGATTCCATCCAGAGAAGTTGCCTTCTGCTGCAGGCTTTGGTAGCTAGTGCAATGAATAAATCCCTCACTCCAGCAGAAGCTGCTATTTCATACCGTTGATACACCTAGACTAGATAATTCCTCAGTAACGCCTGACTTGACACGTATCTCACATCTCTTCCTGAAATGGGGTACATGCGTTATCCCCATTGTACACACCAGCAAACTGAGGCCCAGAAGAGTCGTGTTTGTTGCCCGAGGTCAAACATTGAGTGACTGGGAATAAAATCTGAGATCCCCTGACACCCTATCTTCTGCCTTAGCTGCTTGTGTAGGTTCTTGGTAGCTGTGTGGGTTTTTATTATACCCTCCTCCCCAACATGAGATGTAGCTGATCAGCTCCTAAGTCCTGCCATCTCCTCTGCTGTAGGCACCGTTTCCTGTGAAGGGCTCTCCACTGAACAGGTGTAACACCGACAGGCAGACCCGAACCTGGGACCTTAGTGCATGAGCCTCCACAGCCTGAGCTGAAACTCAGCTAAGGCTGTAGAGCACATTCAGTCTCTCACTCTCTCCGTGAGCGGTCTATCTGCCACGACACGGGACAGTGACCCACGCCCAGCAGGTGTGTGTGTTACACTGGGGCAGGATGGAAAACCGCTGTTGTAAGATCTTGCCACCCTCACAGCTGAGAATCTACTGGCACATCCATCTGCCCCCCAGAGAGCTTCTCTATCCACCTCCTACTGCTCTTTTTCCTGGCCCCAACTCTGTAAGCAGGGCTGGAGCTACCGGTTCCAGTTCTACTCCCTAGGATGGGCGGGAGGGGAGCCAGCCTACTTCCCAGGCTGTTCTTCCTGTTGCTGCTTCTGCCACATCCTGGCTACTCGCCCAACCCTGCTTCAGCACCTCGGTCCTTATTTCTTTCATTTCCAAGGCCTGCTGGCTGAGTCATGTTTGGCCCTTCAAGCCCTTTGAAATAATCTAAGGCGTCAGGGGCAGTGGTGGATTTGTGTGGCAGGGGCAAGGAGACAAAGGCGGAGATCTGGGCTTGCAGCTGCCAGAACTGAATTGGTTTCAGTCCATTGCTGTTTCATGCAAGATCTTTTTACCGGCACGGAGAAATACAACTGGCTGCAGTTTTTGTACGGGAGGCCCAGGAGATTATAAAATGGCCATAAACTAGAGCGCGTCAGGCCTGCGGTGTGACGGATGGACTCCTGTCTGGCTCGGTAGTGAAAATGCGGCAGAAGGCAATGCCTGCCTTCCTTTAACGCTACCCTGTGCTCGCCTTCCGTCTGAGGATCCCAACGCATGCACACCTGGTAAAGAATGAAGTCTCCTGACCCCCAGTGGGTGTTGTTATCCTCATGTATAGTATAGAAAAGGGAAATAAATGATTTGCCCAGAGTTGCACAGCAGGCAGTTAGAAAGGCTAGGGGCATATATCCTGATACCTGACCATGTCCAGTCCTCTGTTCTCACCAGTGGGAATGGGTTTGTGTTTTTTTCCCCCTTTGCAGTCTCTTTTAGATAATGTGAGTGCACTTTAGCCAACTGTTCTTTTTTGTGTCCTTTTTCAGCCTTACCAGAGAATCCGCATTCACCACCTGGTAGAAAATGTCTTATGGTTCCATTGATGGGAGTGGATTCGGAAGCCGGAACCCCTTTGGAGGCCCGTCGAGACAAGGATATCAGCCCCTCGGTAAAGTACTGATTGTGTGCTATAATTTACTCTACCTGACTAAGCTGGGGAAGGCGTTTTTCATTTGTCATGTGTAAAAAGGCTGCTATATCCCAGTAGCCACATGCTGCACTATGTGGTGGATCATTTTGTGTGGTGATTAGGCACAAGGAAGTCAAGTGAAAGATCTCCCCTAGGCCCACTTCTCTGATGTCAGTTCTGTGAGCTAGACAGAAGTTGTGAGTTGCTTTCCAAGTGGTCTCTCAGCACGTTATAAAATATCCCCATGCAATATATAACAGTATTGCCTGGGCACATTATATTCTTGGCCCATCGGTAGCCAGCACTTGATGCTTCAGAAGACAATATACATCCCACCACTATGCACCTAGTCCCTGTGTAGTGTGTGTAGGTATGAGATTGATCCTTCACATGCATGATACTCCCTCAAAGTACAATTTAATCACCACTCTTCACTGTTTTAGGGCTGTCTTGTGCAGTCCTTATACTGAGGACCAGTCATCCAAATAGTCTTATTGACTTCTCTAGGGCTACTTGCAAGGATAAGTACTGACCTACAATAGTAAGGGCTTGCCTGCACTGTGGGGCAACGTGTGCTACTGGGGTGTGATTTCCAAAGTGCACAGATGTGTTGCACGTTAATTGTTCCGTGCAGACCTTGCTGCTGCACGGAAGGTTCCTCTGTGCACTGAAAGTAATAGAATCATAGCTCTGAAGGCTGTAAGAACCTGCAAGCCATCTTGTCAGATCTCCCGTATCTCCCAAGCCACCACCTCGCCCGTCTTCCTACTAAATCCAATAACTGAATTAGCCCGAAGTTTCACAGCCCACGGGAGACAAGACACGGGGTGCGAATAAGAAGGACCAGTGTGTGAGGTGTCTGCAATGGCAGGGATCTGATAAAGTGAGATACCAGTTTAATAATCCTGGCATGTGATCCACACCCACCTGCTGCTGAGGAAGGTGAAATATTCCCAGCCTGCCCC